ACTCATATTGAAATAAAATTTGAGTTTGGGTTATAAAATGGTTATATTTTTGTTATCATACAATTTGAATTTGGGTTATAAAATGTTATAAATTGGTTATTACATCTGACAGCGATTTTCGATTTTTATTTATTTTTTATTTTTTTTATTTTTTATTTTTTATTTATTTTTTTTGATGATACGCTGTTTTATATTTTCATATGCATTTGTATCCTACATGCATATGTATGTGCATATGTATTTTAAATGAACAATATTTGAACAAATTCAATTGAACTTTGCTTTAGTTGATTTGTCACTTATTTGCATGCGAGAAGAAGGTTCACACTGCGGTCTCGATTCAATGGAGGACAAACAAATTGAACAGCGCAGCGATAAACATACACACATACACATAAGTAGACATACATGCACATACATATAAACGTTGTTATGATACTGCTTTGTGATGTTGATACTCATGTACATATATTGAACTATGTTTGTGTGTCCATTTCAAACATATTTCCATKCAATTTTTCCAGCGAAGCGCCGATGATTCAACGCCGGCGCAATTATTTGCCATATTTGACACTAATTATCATTTGAGGAATTTCACTTATGCGAATGTGTGGCAGTTATACACACACACACACACATGCATACATATAGATTTTCAAATATTTTTAAGCAAAAGTATAAATTAGTGAAAAGCGAGTAATTGAGGAATTTCAATAAAAACGGAATTAAAATAAGTGCAAACAAATTARCACGCAGCCGATTTGAAACATATGTATGCGCATATGTATGTATGTATGCAGGCGTGTGCGTATGTATTTATGTGGGTATGCTACTAAGAAATTTATGATGACTCAAGGTTGTTGTGTGCTAATTAAAATTTTATCTGAATTCATAAAAAATGGACAATGCAGACAGGCAACAATCAGCGAAAYAGACACCGAACAAAGCTACAGGCACATGWAAAGGGTGAACCATTTCGAGATTTCCCACCTTTTTAAAGAAAAACACATAAACTTCAAATTTAATAGCGAATGTTTATTATTATTCGAAAGAACATTCTTTGGCATATATTTTTTGAAGATTATCGCTTTCAAAGATTGGACGCTTCTACGTCTCAGATGGTACATCCGTTGAGTCCAATTTTCGATGACACGGTCGACTGTCGACTGGTTAATGCCACACTTGATGTCTTGCTCCAGAGCCTGAATCTAAGCGGGAGTGCGAGACTCTAGACTATGCATATTCCCACAGGAAAAAGTCGCACGGTGTAAAATCACACGTTCTTAGTTGTTCAATTGACCGACCCAAAACGTGAAATTATGTGCTCACCGAAGTTTTCTCTCAATAAATCCATTGATTGAAGCCATCTTGGTGAAGCCAAGTGATGATTCCACTGGCTTACTAACCACACCAAAACCGTTTTTTTTTTTTTTGCTCGAAAACGTCGGATCTTCCTGGAACCTTTCAAGAGCTCATAGAGTGAGGACGCTTGAGAAGGTCGAGTGACTTCAGTTCTTCCCCAAGCTGTCGTACGTCAGTCCGAGTTGGTGGCGCCGAATCTCCACGGTCTTCGTGTACATGTTAGGTAGGGCTGCCATATTTTTCCGATCTGACTGCTAAAACTTGAAATTCCAACTATCTCCGTATAAACCCTGCAGTCTGCAGAGGAATGTCTCAAGTATTAATAGCTTTATGGACACAAGGTTCGGAAATGTCAAGTTTTCAGAGGCTAGCTCTGAAGGAATGACAGAATCAGCAAATTTTGGGGGTGTGCTCCTGAAGCAAAGTATCTATCGAGGAAAATAAGCCTCTCATGTCAGTTTTCCTTTAGAACGGGTTTACAAAGTTGAAACTAATATAAAATAAAACACAACAAACACAAATTTCTTGATATCATTTTACTTTACGACAGATTATCTTAGTTTCCTTTAAATAAACTTGTACAATCTGCTAATTATGCTACACTATGAGCAACAATTGAAGATCCATCACGTTGGTGCCGGTGTGTCCTGTTAGGACATGATATTCACCAGTTTTGAGGTTTTTATAAAAGCTATATGAATCACTGTCTTGCAAAACTGACTCCACATCGCACAGTTTATGCGCGTTGTTCGCCAAAAAATCACTAATCACTAAGTCGCAACCGATAGCGCCAGCCGCTGGCGTTGGACCATCAATGCCATCTGTGCCGGCAGAGAGAAAAATAACGTTATTAAAATCTGCATTTTCGTAAGAAGTGACTGCCATGCGTAGAGCCAACTCCTGGTTGCGGCCACCCAAACCGGCACCGGTGACCTAAAGTAAAAATGGTAGAAGGTTTATGCACTGCATTGGTGATATGTGATATATGCTACTTACCTTAACGGTCGGTTCACCAGCCAAGATCAATAGCAGTGGCTTCAGTGTGCGCTCACACATGAGCAGTGTTTTTAAAAAATGCTGAAAGATGCGTGAATCGAATGGAAAACGGCTTTTCAAATCGTTTTCATTTAATTTACCTTTACGAAAATCGCAAATGCTTTGCAAGAAGTCTTTATATTTGGTAGTCAGCTGTTGTACTTCACCCTCAATCGTTGTGCTGGCTATAAATGGATTGTAGCCACACTTGAGCGCCTCCTGTACCGCTTGCGCAGTAGCAACGCGATTGTCGCCCACCACGTAAACGGAGCTGTTGAGCGCGGGTGTCAATGGTTCTTTCGTCTCCGACACTTCGACTAATTCACGTATGTGCTTAGGCAAATCAGCAAATAATGCATACTTTTCCAACACTTCCTTTGCTGTAGAACGCTTTGATATCACAGCACACGTCGGTCCACTTGCTATTATATCGACGGGATCGCCAACGACGTCGCTGATAACAAACGAAATAACAGCAAAAGCTTTGCTTGCAGTCGCAGCCAAACGTCCACCCTTGATGTCGGACAAGGCGATACGCACAACATTCATCTCATCAATGCTGGCACCACAGTTAGCTAAGCGCCGCACCAATTGCATCTTCTCGCCCAGCGTTAGTGGCGGTCGCGGCAATGGTAGCAACGCCGAACCACCACCAGATATCAACACAAAGAGTATATCGTTTTCTGTCATATGCGCAGCAAGCGCTTTTATGCGTTTTGCAGCCTCCAAGGCCTGCTTATCTGGCTGATTGTTTGGCGCGCCTTCGATAACATCTATAACCGTACCTGCTGACAACTGCATTTCAGGCACATCACGAAATCGCTCGCTTGTACCCTGCGGTATGCTCAGCACGCCACTGACCAGCCGTTTTTCGAGCGATTTTTCCAATTGCACTGCCATGCCAAGCACAGCTTTACCAAAACCAACAACATGACAATGCTTACGTGTTATATCCAAAGTTTTACCCTGTATTTGTATGCTCAAGCGGCGTCCATCCATGCTTACCTGTGGCCGCAAGGCATACTGGTTGGCCGCACTAAGCAATTGCGCCGGCCGCACAGCTTCCACCGAACGTTCGAAGATCTGTCGCAGATTCTGTATATGTTGTAATTTTGCTGACATGACTTCTAGTATTTAGCTGATACTGTGGTTGGTGATTACTTCTTATCACTACACATAACTGTGTTTTTATTTTGATAACAAAATTGTCATTTTAGCTAAAAATAAAAATAAAAAAATTGCAGCTGATAAAACAAACAGCTGTTTTTGGGGCTGTCAGTGACATCAAGCATGAGACTGTTTCAAGCATACAAGTTTTCACCGTCAGATGGCGCGCTGAACAGTTAATGAAATTGTTATCCCTGATATAATTTACATGGAAACTATTTGAGTAAGCCTAACGGCGCCCTCACTTTGTAAAATATTTGTTAGCTAACGGCACTTTGTTTGTATGTATGCTTCAAGCTTGAAATAAAATGTCAGTTTTCAAGAACGCGTGCCTTTTTCGTGAATTAATCTGTATAATCCGCAAGAAAAACTAGTTTTTACTAAATAAAAATTGTGATAAATGACTTAATTGGTGCGCGTGAGTGAAAGTGATGTGTCAGAGAGTAAAATGTGCTAAAAATATTGTGTAAAAGTGTTATATGTGTTTAAGCGTCCTGTGTGCAAATTATAGCACTTCCCATACCGTTGAGGGGAAAAGGAAGTGCCTTCTGGCAATTTCCGCAGTTTGCCGGCCGCAAAAGAAATTTGCGAATGAGAAAAATATAGTTTGTGTATAATAATTTAGCGCACCGATTCATGTAAAGTACGAAGTGAAAAAGTGTAAGAATGTGCGTGAAATTAGTAGTTTAATATAGTGCTGCCTTAAAAGTTATGTGTTTTTTTTTTTTTTTTTKYAAAAAGAAGGCGATGTTGTAGTCTCAGTGGTTAAATGTTTATGCAATAAAATGTGAAATGGTGTAGCGATRTAGTGAAAAAAGGCGAAGGAAATATGCCAAAGGCAATGGAAGAAAGGCAAAGGAAATTTGCCAAGTGCAATGTTAAAAATCGCTCAGGCCAATATGCAAGTCAGCTGTTCTTAGTTTGTGTCAATTATTAAAGTGAAAAATGAGTGCAAGTGCTTAAAATATAAAAAAGTTTTGTGCAAGCGTTCGTTTATTTAAGAAGTGATCGGCAATGTGCGCACGCAAATGAAAGCTGCTCGTGTAAAAATTTCAGCGAAATGGCCGCAGCTCAGATTTTAAAATTATCTTGAGCTTGTGYATACAAATATGYGTTTTTATAAGCAMGCGTACATATGTACAAATATATTTACACCTTACAAAAGTCAACGTTGTAAAATAGTAAGGTAAGTGCACGACTTATACATATCATATGATAAGAAACTATATTGTTTATCAATTAATTGAAAAAAAGTATATATATTTATGTATATTATTATTTCTTAAGCCATTTATTTATACAAAAATTAATATACTTATATATACATACATATGTATATAAAATATCAAAATGTAATTTTTTTTTAATAGAAAACTATGCAATATTCTGATAATAGCCCTCTATCCATAGATGAAATATACCTTTGATATTTATTTAATTTTAAAGACGCGACCGCAAATATTGACAAAAAAAAATACATTTTTATGATTTTATGATCATTGCAGCTCTCTTAATGCATGATAGACAAATATAATCATGTTTATATGTACAATTTTAAAGACAGGTGATGCAAATGTTAATCCATATGGGGAAAAATTATTATATTGTAGTTATATTATTTTATACATATATATTTTTTTTTTAATTTTTAACACTTTTATATCTTTACATACCTTTCTGAACCCCTTTGATCCGTAGCAGAAAGCTATTACCAGCTTTATTTGATTTTAAAGCGATTTTTAGGAAGTATAAGCACGTACAAAATTCCTAGGAACTGTGTATGTATATCTCAAGATAAAAGGAAAATAATGTTTGCATTCGGGTAGCCGAATAATCGTATTTTTTCTTAAAGGATTGTATCCAATTTTGAATTAAAAAAATCAATTTTTTTTTTAGTATATTGTCTACACTTAGTACATTTGAAAACATTATCTTAAGGTTTAAAGTTGTCACGGCAAATAGTTTAGAAGATATGAGCGTATTTATAATTTTTTTGTTTTGTGTAATCAGCTCCGAAAACTTAAAATGCATTTTTCACGGAATGTTTGAAGTCGTTGGAAAAAATGTCTCTGACACGGCTAGATCGATCTACTCCTTAGATACATTTATCAAATAATTTTGGTTAAATTAGTTAGATGGACGATTATCGATATTGCGCGCTCTCCTAAATCACAAAGATTCACATAGCTCCAGCATATTGATAAAGTCCAATAAACTGCTGGGTGCTAGCGAAGAAAAGRGATCCCTATTTGGAAACATGGATCTAAAGGTCTTTAACCTGCATCTACAGACAGCTTTGCTGTCAATTATCAGATGTTTTGGTGTTTCAGGCTCCATGTCATATAACCGGCAATTTAAGAAGCTAAGCCCATGTTTTTCTCTTATACACATCTTTTTATTGCATAAACATTTAACCACTGAGACTACATTTTTTTTTTTTTTTTGCAAAAAGAAGGCGATGTTGTAGTCTCAGTGGTTAAATGTTTATGCAATAAAATGTGAAATGGTGTAGCGATGTAGTGA